AATGAGGGCAACATATGTACAAACATGCCTGATTCAGTTGTTGTGTGGATTGTGATAAGAGTTGTATAAGCCCCCAATAAAATGATTTTTTTTAAATCAAAGAACTGAAAAATTCTCCTCCTACCTCCAGCTACCTACAACAGATTAGCAAATTGGCAACCTTAAATGTGACCATCTTCTTTCTTAGTTCCATAGCAGACATCACTAATCAAGCCCAGCACACTTTTCCTCAAGTTGGAGAGTCCAGCAGCACTTCCACTCACCCCCAGTGAACTCACAGGTTAGCTCCTCTTCATCCCCGCAGGCCTGCCCGCACTCAGGGCTATCTCCGTGTCAGCACGGGTCTTGGTCACCTCGTTTCAGAGTGCTTTGGACGCTAACCCATTTCCAGAGCCTCACCGCCTTGGGCAGTAGGTAAGGCAGGGATTTTCACCGAGGGGAAATGGAGGAGCCCCAGAATTGGTCAGAGTGGGGGCTGCAAGTCTTATCTCCAGGCCCCACGTGGCCTTGCGGAGAGAGTGTGCTCCGGGCCCATACCTTCTGCCACTTGTAGAACCGATCCGCCTTGATGATCATGTCCAGCAGGCTGATGTGGTTGCTGCGGGCACCACTGCAGGGCGGGCTCTCCTGGCTGCACGGAAGTGAAAAGAGGAGGCCGCATCACCAGGTGTTTCTACAGGAGGGCCGGGTGACTCCAGTGGAAAAGTCACCGGAGCAATCAGGCAAGACTCAGTTATGGAAACCACACTTGTGCTTCTTTTAGAATTTAGAAAGCGAGAGCTGCGGTCAGGAGGCAGTGTGCATCCTCAGCTTCTGTATGAAGTAGGTGTTGCGACCGTATCTGTCAGAGGAAGAAGTCAGGGGCTGGAGAGGGGGCTTGGGCCTCATCACGCCACCTTGTCCAACCCCTCGCAGGCCGGGGTCCCTGGATGGTGCGCTGGTTCTCACATTGGCCACTGACTGAAAGGTTGGAGGTTTCAGTGCATGCAGAAGCTCCAGGAAGAAAGACCTGGCGACGTGTGTCTGGAGAACTAGCCGTTGAAAACCCCATGGAGCCCAGTTCTACTCTGACACACACGACATCACCATGAGCCAAATCTACTCAATGGCAACTGGTTTAGTTTTCTTCCGGCCTCCACAGCCCAGCTCCAAGCGGACTTTGACCAACTCCAGGGACCTTTAGTGAGAAGGGCCACTTCCTGTATCTGTCAGCTGTCCTCTGGTCAACTTAAAGGCCTCCAGGGAGCCCCCTCCCACGTCCAGCCTCAGG